TTTGCACTCTGTCATACGAATGTGCTATTAGAATGTGTGGCGTCAGTTTTGCACCATTATTTAGTAGTGAATGTGAGGAACACTTTGAAGAACTGAATCTGAATGTTTGCGCAAACGTGGCATGCGTGTCTCACTGACTTGCTGTATTCGTGTTCGTAGCACATCAGGTGGCACAAAAGCTAGGCGAGTCTCTTAGAAACAAGATGGACGAAGAATGTTGGTGGTGTGGTGAGCTATAACGCCTTCTCCCGGTTCTGAGCTTTTAGTTAAGTTGGCACATTAGGGTGTTCCGTGAGAAGATCTCGATAATGAAGTTGGATGTTCCTCTGGGATCCTGAAAGCAGTCGTGTTTGGGAGCATAATTACGACGAATTGGCTGCAGCTTGGTGCCTAAAGCGTTATGGTTCCTCCACATTTGTAATTCTTTCAGTTTTGGAGAGCTCCATCAAACTGCCTCGATAATAATTCGACCATTCAGTGAAAAGTGGGGTAAAGGACGGGGGAGGGGAGTTGGTGGCAGAAACATCATCACTAATGATGCAATGGAGCAGGAGTATTGGCTTCTGGTCTACGTATATTGCAGGACTGAGTTTGCATTCGAGGTGGACGATCACACGAGTTCAATGCTCCGTCTCATACCCTGATTTTCTTCAAGTGAAAATCATGTGTTGTGATGCCTTTTAGGGGGTACTTCCATCAATGACAATAGAGGTTTGGTGGCAGTTGTCTGCCCTACTTCGAATGTCAGGCTGGGATATAGAATGAGCCTTTGTGGATGTCCAGATGAGGAGGACGGAAGTAGCGGTGTTTGCGAGCTGGTAATAGAGGCAAGCCTTGAATCTCAGCGGATGTTTCGTTTTAAGGTGTGGGTGTATTGGACTCCCCATAACCCCTTCGCTTAGTCTTTGTGGCGCTCCATTACTCAGTATTTTTCTGCAACATTTGTAATATTTACTGAGTTTAATAAAGTGCCTGGCTTTTTTGAATTGCAATTTTACTCTCGTTGTTCTTCTGCGTTCTATGTGAATGTCCTTAAATATCGTCGTTGAGAGGTTCTGATTTCACATGCATCGATGGAGGGAGGCTGTGCATGAATAGCCCAAGAAAGGACATTGGTGATGAACGTGGGGTCTTTTTTCGGTACTTCGGCAAGAGGTCTGACAAATTCTTCAACTCTACATTAAACCGCTGCAAGACTGTATCAACAGCACACTTTACTAATATCCAAACATTTACAGTTTAATTCACAACTGCAGCTTTGTGTAAACTTCTTCCAAGGCTTCTGTAACCACTCCTACTGGCGCATTGTCAGTCGACTTCACTTTGTTATGGTTCTCGATTTTCGCAACTTCCACTAAAGGACTTTCAATTTGTTTCCAGTTCTCGCTCAACACAAAATGATTCTGGGCTACGGTTTCTTCAGGACTGACTTCAATCTCACACAACAGGGCGGGCCCAACAACAAAATTATCCTCCTCTTCTACAAATGGAGCGACTTCGTTATGATTAAAGTCCACGATTTCCACAAACTTGCTATTAGTTTCATCTTGTACTTCTTTTTCTCCCTCTCCAGATATAGCTTCATTCAGCTTTACCGACTTGTCCCCTACGACTTGACTGCCCAAATTTACTCGATTGGATACGACAATTTCCATTAATTGTTCACTCTTTCCTTCACCTGCGATATCAACAGAATTCTCACTATTCTCCTCCATTGTCTCTGCATGCGCTTTTTCTAAAGCAAATTTGCTCAGCCTCCAGCTGCCGACTTCTCCTTCAATGTCATTCTCTTTGGATCTGATATTACCCTTCTTCCCATTCTCACCTTCCATAATTTCGGAGTCCATTTCGTCTGCAATATTTTTGCTTAATTTGTGACTGTCGCCTTTTTGTGAATCACACCTTGTTTGTCGTTGCATTATACCATCTACATGCTCGTTCTCACTTCTCCTTGACTTTCCTCCTCTTCCTTCTCGTACTGCAGAAACAGACATTTGATTGACCTCAACATTTCCTTTCCCTACTGTTGAGTCCATCTTTTTAATTAACTATCAACAAGTAGCCGAAAATTAGGCTTTAAATTGGACATTTTAGGCAAGACTTCTTGGATATCGTTGGTTAACCGGACAAAGATACTAATAAGAATGAGGGATTACATAAATCTTGCCATAATCAATGGTGGTGCAGACGATGGTACAAGATGTATCAACACACCTCCAATCACTGAAACTGAGAGTATGAATTGCTTTCGGTATAACATTACACAACGCTAAAGAGGAGGGCATATAAGGCACCCTTTTGAAAGGCCGAGCCATGCTAAGGCTCCATGCAAGAGCTGTAAGCAATACGACCTTCCACAGCATCGGCGTAACCTCATGCAAGCTCAACCTGCGCGTTGGCTATTTCGCGCTTATGTTTGACCTCTGTGGGCATACACGGCGATGACAACTGACGAAGTCAGGCTGGATGACGCGAGAGATGGGAATGGCAGATTAGCACCTTACGTGGGACACTGAAATGAACTGAACTACGTGCCAGGTATGGAAGTTAGTAACTGCCCCACTGTTCTGTCCAAAATAAAACATCTTGGCTTGTTCATGTACAAATAAGGTATTTGAGATAAACATTATAAAATCGCCTGCCAAGGAAGAATACACGTTCGCAAATTTGAGATTAGTTATACCAGTGTTGGAAATCTGTGGAACGTTAGCTTATTTATGTCAAATGTATTTTCGAATGGCATCGTAAATGGGATTTGATGGAGTACTTGAGTGATTGATTTCGTTCATCACACCATCTTTAATTTTACCAACCTCAAATTGCCCTATCTCTTCTCATTTAACCTTATCCCATCCTATCTTACTTTGTTGTAGCCTCATCCAAGGCTTGCAGTGACATCGAAAGAGGAGTTGGTTATTGTGTGACAAAAA